CACGATCAAACTCTAACCACATCCAAGTTCGTTTTTTATATCAGAACTCTGCTATTAAGATAAGGCTACAACCCCTCTTCCTTTTCCGGACACTTCTTCAAGATAGGAGAAGCGTTGTCGGCATCCAGTTCTAACACTCCAGTCCATATCATCAAAAGACTGGGCTGATGGAAGTCATCAATTTATAATACCTATATTCCACGACCAGAGTAAGAGCTAAGGAAAGCATTTAAATGTTTAGCCTTATAAGAAGCAATAAAGCGTTTTTTTTCCCATCTTTCTTTTGCCCTCTTTTTACAGGGGCCTACTCGTTCTTTGGTTTCGGAACAGCTCAACCAACACTATACCACCTACCACATTCCATAATCGATTAAATTCCGACCACAAGCAGGAAGGCCATAAGGCCTGAATTTGTGGGAGGAGTTATTTTCCTATTTAAACCCTAGACTAATACTCACCTATGTTGTTCATGCTGGTTGACTCCACCTACCTTCACCCTTCACTTATTAATATCATTAACTTAGTAGGCCCTCTTTTATTACAAGCCTACTCCATAATCCATAATATATATACACACACACACACACAATATGTGGTAGCTTGGCACTCTCCTTACCAGAATTATAAACAATAATAATCGCCTGGGTGCTGATACAAATGTGTCAAAAATATACAGAAAAAGAGTTAATCCGGGATGCACCCACAGTTCTTTGACTTGTATGATGTGATTTATTGAAACGAGGTTACATACAGCAAAATAATCGATGTTTCAACCCTGCCGTGTTTATGCATCTCATTATGAATGTGTTTCAAGGTTTTTCATTTGTATTTTTATCTGGGATATATGGATCACAGTGCTCTTATTATTGTATGCAATTAGTATTGATATATTATGTATGTAAATTGTCTTGCATGTATACATATCATTCAAGTTTTACTTTTAGTTACACCAAGGTTGATATAAGACTCGCATATCTGTCACATTTTTTCTTGTTTAATATTTATCTAATACACTATGATTCATGGATTGTATCTAGTTGTATTCATATTCACATGAAACACACTATTTAGTGGTCACCTGATGGTGCTTAAGTGAAGTTGTGTTGTACACATGTGGCTCATCAATCTACAGTTTGCACTGTTTAGTCTGGATCTTTGATCACAGGTATTACCTTTGTCTAGGGGGAGGGTACTTCCCCTTTACAAGTTTCCCACACTTTTTTGTTATTTAAAGATTGTGTTTGGAGCTATGGGGTTATCCTGATGAAAGTCCTATGATGGACTGAAACGTTGATTTGTTGTAACCCGTGTGTTATGAATTAAGACACATAATTTTCTTTAAAAAGCCCAGCGTGTGCCTTTCTTCATGGAGATTTATGTTGATTTGGCTAAAACAGCACTGTGGCACTTATACTACAAATGTGAGTGCAAGATCAATTTTATATATATATATATATATATATATATATATATATAGAGAGAGAGAGAGAGAGAGAGAGAGAGAGAGAGAGAGAGAGAGAGAGAGAGAGAGAGAGAGAGAGATAGATATATATATATATTAGGGATGCATCAAAATTTTTGGTCAAATTTGCCAAAATTATTATTTTTATTTTTTTTGTAGTGCATAGTTTAACCCCTTAAGGACGTAGCCAAATGTACACGTTGTGATCAAAACAAAACGTAATCAAAAACTGGAATTTGTGCTTTGTCTGTTCAGGCGTCATTCGCCTTTTTCATATTATGTGCACCCACACTTATTATATATCATTTTATTCAGGGAAAACAGGGCTTTCATTTAACATCAAATACACAGGTATGAAACATATTTTAATATGAATAAAATATAAAAAAATGGGGAAAAATAAGAATGTAAATTTTTTTTTTCGTTCTATGTGACATTCTAACTGTAAATGTCATAATACTGTTTTCTTTTACTGCAATAAAATACACATATTTGTATTCAGCGATATCTCACGTGTAAAACAGTACCACCTATGTACACCTTATGGTGTTTTGGGAAGTTACAGAGTCAAATATAGCGTGTTACATTTTTCATTTATTTTCACACTGAAATTCGCCAAATTGGTTACGTTGCCTTTGAGACCATATGCTAGCCCAGGAATAAGAATTACCCCCATGATGGCATACCATTTGCAAAAGTAGACAACCCAAGGTATTGCAAATGGGGTATGTCCAGTCTTTTTTAGTAGCCACTTGGTCACAAACACTGGCCAAAGTTAGTGTTAATATTTGAAAATGCAAAAAAAACTAATTTGAACACCAATTTTGGCCAGTGTTTGTGACTATGTGGCTACTAAAAAAGACTGAACATACCCCATTTGCAATACCTTGGATTGTCTACTATTGCAAATGGTATGCCATCATGGGGGTAATTTTCATTCCTGGGCTACCATACAGTCTTAAAGGCAACATAACCAACCTGACGAATTTCAATGTGAAAAAACTGAAACACAAGCATTATATTTGACTCTGTAACTTTTGAAAACACAATAAAACCTGTACATGAGTGGTACTGTTATACTTGAGAGACTTTGCTGAACACAAATATTAGTGTTTCAAAACAGTAAAACGAATCACAACAATTATATCGTCAGTGTAAATGCCATTTGTGTGTGAAAAATGCAAAAAAATGTCATTTCCACTGAAGATATTGTCGTCGTAATACATTTTACTATTTTGAAACACAAATATTTGTGTTCAGCGAAGTATTCCGAGTAAAACAGTACCCCCCATGTACAGGTTTTTATGGTGTCTTGGAAAGTTACAGGGTTAAATATAGTGCGAGCAAATTACATTCCCTGAACTTTCGGCCTGGGTTGTCAGGCAGGTCCTGCAAATTGTAATTAATAAAATGACGTAATTATGTAAAATTATTACATAAATATATATGTAGAATTATTATATATATACACGTGTATACATATATGTGTATATATATATGAATATAATGTTTTAAATTTTTTATTTATATATAGGTATATATATATATAGCGTTATATACGTATATACTTATGTATATAAGTAGAGATTGTAGCCGTATTAGTTCAGTGATGTAGATGTAAAACACAGATAAAATTCTTATCTTGTAATACATTTTTTATTGGACTAAGAGAATTTTTTAATGACAAGCTTTTGGGAGAACCTTCCTTTCTCAAGTCTGAAGAATTTCTGAGCAAAAGGACACATTTTCAAAGTTGAGTTGTGATACAGGGGTTAAAGCGACATGAGTGTAGATAAGACACAGGTTTGTTAGAAAATAAATAAATATGTAAATATGTTAAAGATGGTGTCTATTTTCTAAGACCTGTGTCTTATCTACAAAGGCATTTGAGGGTATTATTTAATTCAGAAGAGTTTGCAAACTTTGCAGTGGTAGGCCTTTGAACAGTCAAACTGCTATAATGTCCTGAACTGTGGAATATGCCCCACAAATCTGTCCATCAAAAATCTAAATGTAAACCTGAAATGATTACGTCTGTTATATAACACTGTAGCTTCACAAAACAGTGGCAAAGGCATTTAAGATGTATGTGATATGCGATATGCGATATATGCGATATGCAAAAGATTGCTGCAAGAAACTTGCAGATAACTTGTGATTGGATACATCGAGACAAGGTGCTACAGCTGTTAGAGAAAATCAATGTAAATAAAGCCCTGGGGCCTGACGGTATTCACCCACAACTACTTAAGGAGCTAAGTAGGGAAATAAGTGAACCACTGTATTTAATTTTTCAAGATTCTTTCGTTTCAGGTATTGTACCGGAGGATTGGAGGAAGGCAGATGTTGTTCCTATATTTAAAAAGGTTCAAAATCCTTGCCTGGAAATTATAGACCTGTGAGCTTAACTTCTGTGACTGGGAAAATATTTGAAGGGCTATTAAGGGATAATATTCAGGAATTCATTGGGAAGAAATTTGTTATTAGCAATAATCAGCATGGTTTTATGAAACATAGGTCTTGTCAAACTAACCTAATTGCATTCTACGAAGAAGTATAGATCAGGGTGTTGCAGTGGATGTGATCTACTTGGATTTTGCCAAGGCATTTGATACAGTTCCTCACAATAGGTTAGTTTTCAAACTAAAAGAAATTTGGTCTAGATGATTATTCATGTTCTTGGGTACAACATTGGCTTAAGGATAGAGTACAACGATTTGTCATTAATGGTAAATTTTCAGGCTGGACAAAAGTGGTAAGTGATGTCCCTCGGGGTTCTGTTTTAGGCCCGCTTCTTTTTAACATATTTATAAATGATCTTGAAATGGGCAATGTTTCGGTATTTGCAGATGACACAAAACTCTGTAAAATAATAAAATGTGAGCAGGACATTGCTTTGCTGCAGAGGGGTTTGGATAGATTGGGGGATTCCATACAGTTGTTTAAACTGAAATTGGATAAATACTTGCAAAAATATAACATACAGGGATATAATTTCTAATTAGTGGGGTAATAGCTGCTTGATCCAAAGAGAACTCTGACTGCTATTTTGGGGTCAAGAAGGAAGTTTTTCCTAGTTTGTTGCAAAATTGGAAGCGCTAAATTTTGCCTTCTTTTGGATCAACAGCAAAAACTCTTTTCAGCTATGTGACTATGTACCTGAAATTTATTGAAGCTGAACACAATATGGAGCTTTGTATTAGTTGGTGCAAGTCATCTAACTCAGATTGAAGTTTATTACATCTATAAATAAACTATACAACAACTTACGCATTAGGTATGTAAAATAGGCTGCAATTATTTAGAGGAGGGAACCTATCCTAAATAAATCTAATTTAAACAGAGATAATACATCAATAGGGGAGTTTTCTAAATCAATAAAAAAAAAGCTTTTTTAAAAATATATACAATATTTAGAAACCATTTATTAACACAAACCTTCCCATGTCCAAACGAATGAGGCCAATCACCAAAATATTGTACACATAAAAAAAAACAAGATGAATATAATTTTTTTTTAATTCTTTATTTTTGTGTGCACGTGTTTAACAGACGATCATTCAATTCCCCAACAGCATTGGCAAGACAGTTAATTGGACAGTGCATATTTGTTACAAGGCATTAGAGTATACTGCACATTTTTTTTTTTTCATTTAGTGCAAATTACAGGCTAGTCAGAACATGTCTAGGTTAACTTTTAAGCAAGAGAAACTAGGCTATCTAAAATCCTAGGCATATTGATAGAGATGTGAAAATAAAATGAGTAAGATAGGCTAACAAAAACGTAGTAGTATGATAACAATGTTAAACCAAATAAAAGACGTTTGTCGCTTGTGTGCCGCTGAGTTTGTTACAGCCTAGGTTAGAGTCCCTGTCAGGCTTAGCTTAGTTGGCAGCCAGCTCATGTATTTAGAAAGTCAGTCGATACCTTGTACTGTCCACATTTGTGAGCCATGCTGTGTTTCAGGAGTGAGGCATTCCCCATACCCCAGGCTTGTTCCAGGGCCTGCACCATGTTGCCACAAACGTGAAGGTTCCCTGAGTCCCAGTTCCACCCTTCCAGGAATTTGCAGGGGGCTTTGCCGTGTTGGGGTAGGTGTCTGCGTGTCGGTCCTCTCTGCTTGTTAGGACAGTGCATTGGGGGTATTTCCTAGGTGATCCTAGACCCAGGGAGGCGCAAGGTTTTACGGTTTGCTGACCTTGAGGTTGGTTTGCCTTTGAGGGGTCTCTCAGGCCTTGTTCTGCCGCGTGTCTGCTCTCTCACCAGTGGTTATTTTGCAGGGGGCGCCCGCTTCATCCGGTCCATTAAAGTTGCCCAAAAGTGGTTGAAAGCTGCTTCCAGACGCTCTTCAATGTGGCTAAATGGGTCCATAAGGTCGTCTTGATGTGGCTCTGGGTCCTGTTTCACAGGCGCAGGTGCATCCGCCATTTTGTGTGCCACCGCTCGGCGCTCAGTTTGTCGAAGTGGCATCTCACAGTTTGTATGGGAGACCTTGGCGTGTGGCCCAGCAGGGACCAGGATAACCCCCAACGGCCCAGAGGGGAAGAAAGCAGGACCTAAGCTGTCTGTAAGTTGTATTGTGGGCGGGGGACCAGCCGCATCCCCCACCCTGTGAAAGGTTACAGGCCATAGAAAGCCCTTATCTCCAAGAGTACCCTCTGCCTTCGGGTTTTCACTCATATAGGTTGCCCATACACCCCCCTGTCAAGATATGTTTGTGTTTGTTCAAAGTCTGTGACTCTGTGAGCCAGATCAGACATCCCAAACCATTGTCTCTTCCTTTTGGCAGATATAGAAAGGGAATGCAGGGAAGCTGTACCTTCACAAGTTATTTATTTATTGATTTGTACTTGTGTGTCACTTTGTGACTTCTTGAGCGGCTTGTTCTTTTGTGGTTCACAATAAAACATGTCTGTTTTCAAATATATGAATAATTTTACTATGAAAATAATGTAACAGAATACCCTAACAATGTTTCCGCTAGAGAATCTAAAAGATTACGGTTTACCAAACTCGAAAGGGCAGTGAGTAAAGACATACAACCTAAATGGGAAATAACCACTTTAAAAAAAAAAAAATACATTGAGGAAAATATGACTCCTAGAGAGCTTAGGTTGTTCAACATGCAAACTTCAAACCAAGATGACCATGAATTCATGGAATAATGCCTTGAACAACTGGAAAGTACTCCCTAGGATTAATGAAAATATTAATAAAAAATAAAAAAAATAAAAACTCACCAGCTAGCTATCTTAGATAAAGAATGTAATATGATGAAAGAGAAACTAGCCGCAAACAGCAAAACTACAAGCAGAATTCCATTTTAATACAAAGCAAGATAGAAAAAGTGGAAATAGATACTGTCAGTATATTTATATCGGCAGACATTTTGTGTTAAGACAGAAATGAAAAGTGTATACTGACAGTCACTCTCGGAACAGAGGTGACTCCATTTTGTATTACAAGGCTAAGACAGACACAATATTTCTCTCTCTATTACTCTATTCATCCAAAGTCTGTGCAAAGGAATGCGACTTATGTAAACAAAACCTAAGATAAGGCATGATGTCTAACAGCGAAAGGGGGATGGAATGTAACTAACCCAGAGACAAATGTATACATAATTATATATACATATACACACTATCCACTTATAACTTACTATATTATAGTAAATCATATATATTTATTATGTTAATAATATAGACTATTCATGGATAAATATCAATGAAGAAATATCATAGTATTCACTAATGTTAGGAGTATAAATAATCTTAAACACAGTTTTACAAAAGAAAACCAGACAGACACCAAATGACACTAAATAATTCATTTTACTTTCTAAATAATAAATAAATAATGGAACATTACTAGTTTCATTGTAAGAAAGAGGTGAAGACGAGTTTAGATATGTCAGAAAGCTAGATTTAAAGGTATATGCCAGACACTAAGTCTGGTATAAGAGTGTAAAAGTCTTTGGAACTGGCAAGAATTTAGATTTATAGTATCCATAAAGATAACCAAAAATGACATGAAAAGCATCACCAATTTCAGTTAAACCATTATGCAAAAAGGGAAATGGACGCCCTGACAAGAAATTTTGGTGATGTAATTGCGCCACCTACTGACCAAAAACTAGATGATAGTCTGTAGGGAAGACACATCTACAGTTACCTATTGGTCCTATCAACTAGTGAAGTGCAGAAAGTATTTCCCTTTAAAAGTAAGGACAAAGGAAAGAGAGAGGGATTCAGCTCTTCGGGACATTCATACACTCTTTGAACCACATTCGAACTCTCTTTGAAAATATTCTGACTCTTGGACTGTACTCAAGAAACAATACTCTCTTGGACACCTAATTCTTACTATAACTTTCCCAACTAACAAAAACTTTTCTATTTTGCCACAATTCTCATCATACTTGCATTCAAAATTCCTGGAACATATCTACACATCTGATAGAAAATCTACAACCTGACTGGTAATTATGGTGATTTTATTTCTTTAAATTAAATTAATTAATTTTTACTAATAGCAGGAATATATATCTGGATAAATATTGGTCAGATTTCAATAATTAGAAATCAGATTTATCTAAGGAATATATGGTTATAAAAATTCCATTCCTGCAGGTGAAATAAAGATAACGATGTATTAAGAGTAAAATTGGCCATATATTAGCATACCAAATTTTATCCAGAGGTATTGACTTGTTCTGATTTAAGATAGTGAGTCTTAATAAGGAAAGTTAAAATTCTGCAAACTTAAAATCTGGTGGAATTATTCTTATTGGATGTTCCTAGGAATGGTCAAATTATCTAGTATGAACATTACTTTAATTGTAAAATAACAATATAATAGGATATCTTGCCTATGATGATTGTAGCCAGCAATGGAAGAGTTAATTCAATGTGATTTGGCTAACAGCCAAGTCTTATTGCTACACTGCTGTGTGTTCTGTGAAGTTTTGTCTTTTTGTGAAGTGATTTCTAAGTCAAGAGTCCTATTATAAATCTTGTTAAATTGTTGACAAATTGCATTCAACTGTTGCTTTTAGCTGTCTATTTTGTGAAACTATTGTCTTACTGTATAATTAAGTTATACCTAATTATTCACTGATTGTCACGCATGTTTCATATTATTTTATTATCATTGTCACAAATTATATATTTTTATAATTAATTTGTGATTACTGTGTGAATCCTCTAGTGAACTTCCTCTAGGATCTAAGAGAATTACAAATTGAGAGCAATTCTCAGCTTTATATTATCATTATTTAGGGAACAGTGCCAAGATTTCAATTTTGATATAATAAAAATTATTAAATTAATTTTGATTTATGAAAATATTATTTTTTTAAGATTTATCACCCCATAAATATCCTCACAATATGAGACATGTAAAAATAAAAAAATACATTTGAGACAAGCAACACTATATGAAGCAACAAATAAGAACCTATCACACAAAAAATAGTAGTATTATTCAACTCCCATAACAGAGGCCTACCACCACTCATCATCACGTACATGCCTTTTTAGGAGAGAAAGACCAGCACCACTACAAAATAAGAGGTCCCACTCATCACCTTCTCTAAAGAAGACTTATGACTCCAACACACCACGATATCATCATGTCACTATCACCTACCGCATGTCTACCACCACCATCAACAATATCTCCAAATTACTACTCTCCTAAAACCCCTTTCCAATTCAGTAGTCACAAAGATGCTGTTCATACATCTATACATAATTATGTTTTGCCTCAACCCCAAAGAAAAAGAACTAGCACTACTCACTTCCCTAAATCAAAGACTATTAAAAGGCAAAAATATGGAATTATAGTGGAGTGCTTAAAAATACAAACAAATAGGTGCAAAATATCCACTCTTCACAACACCTATGAACAGTCAATTCAAATTTACAGTGTATTTTCAAAAATGCTCATGTAATAAAATGTTAATTATATGTGTAAAACCTTAATGATGTATATCTTCACAATCGTGTTTCAAAATCTTTGTAAGGTGCTTGTTGAACAAATTGTTGTGCAAAAAGTGTAAATACAATATACCAGCTGTGATAAAAGTGCAAATGCAAAAATTTATATTTGTGTCAATATTAAAATACTTAGCTGTGATATAACTTATTTGGATGAAATATACCTCAAAAAGAAAATAAGAGGAAGACAACAATAGTGAAGAATGTTTATACAGAACAAACAAATATTTCACCACTAGATCCCTTTGGACTTTCACTCACATTGCTCAGAGCCTTATGCTTGGCTTTAGTTTGTACGCTTTGGAGCCTCTTTTTGGGGGGACCCCTATTGTCTCTGGTTGTCTTTACCTCCAAAAACAAAAATGTACAGCAAACCCCAGTGCAATATGTTCAGACAATATAATAGTGTAAAAACGTATAAATGAACCACTCATGTGTTCCAGAGTCTTTCGATAGGCTCTATTTAAATTGCAGAGCGCCTAATTCTTAGGGGGACGCCACCCTTTGGTTCTGGTATAGATGATCTCCATAAATCCAGATGTGAATAAAAAGGTTTTTATTGAATCCAATGTTTAAAAAAGAATACTATAAAAACAGCATAAAAACTTGATAAATCAAAATCCACAGGCACAATATATATATGATAAAAACGCATTTCACCTAACTTAACGCTTCTTTAGTTTATCTCCCTGTGTATAATGTCCCTTTTATACGATCCATGTGGACCTCATTTCCGGTTTTGGCATGCGTTTCACGACTCATTTTGATGTCCTTTATAAAAGGTAATGTGTTCCAAGCCTCTTTTTTAAACTTGTATTTGGCTGTAGCATCATTTCCGGTTTCGCCACGATGTCACTTCTGGTTACGTTCAGCAGCTACTTCCTAGCGTTCCAAAACTATGCAGCAGCCATGTTATGCATTCCACCAGCCGATGCCGGCGACTATATCTTAGATTCCACCTCTGACTTACAGTCTCTACTATGCGTTCCACTAAAAAATACTAGTTCCACTATATTTTTAAGAATACAAGTGTGTCCACTCCATATTCTATCATTCCACTACTAGGTATTAACCTTTAACCAAGCAAGTCTTGTGAAAAAATAATACATGCGTCTCCATTTAATACCATGCAGGTGCCATAGAGGTGACTTAATGGATAGTAGTTTAAAGGCTTTAACTATGTCAGTTTTACTGAGCCATGCCCTTATTTCTGCTGTAATGATTGCATCTCTGGCATTATCTATTGTTGTGTATTGTAGCAAAAATTCCTCTGAGGGAATCAAGGAGTTAAGACTAGGGACTGCTGTGTGGCGCAGTGTGAGGATATTTAAGAGGTGATAAATGTTAAAAATAATATTTTCATAAAAAATATCAAAAATTATTTTAACAATTTTTATTATATCAAAATTGATATCTTGGCACTGTCCCTGAATTATGATAATATAAAGCTGAGAATTACCCACGGTTTTAATTCTCTTAGATCCTAGAGGAAGTTCATTAGAGGATTTTTACTTCACACAGTAATCACAATTAAAGGGACACAGTGCCAGGAAAACAATCAGTTTCCCTGGCACTGCAGGTCCCCTCTCCCTCCCACCCCCCATCCCCGGTTATTGAAGGGGTGAAAACCCCTTCAGTCACTTAACTGAGACCCCCGCCGATGTCCCTCAGCGGTGGTTTTGGGTCGCCGCCGCTCCTCCTCTTCCTTATGTCAGCAGGTAGACGAGACTGATCCCGCCCGCCGGCTGAAGAGACCTAATGCACATGCGCGGCAATAGAGCTCTCCATAGGAAAGCATTGAAAATGCTTTTCAGTGCTTTCCCCTAGGGAATTGAGCGACACTGGAGGTCCTCACACAGCGTGAGAACATCCAGCGACGCTCTAGCACAGGTTTTCTGTGCTATGAAGCAGGAAGTGCCCTCTAGTGGCTGTCTAGTAGACAGCCACTAGAGGAGGAGTTAACCCTGCAAGGTAATTTATTGCAGTTTAGAAAAAACGGCAATCACACTTGCAGGGTTAAGGGTAGTGGGAGTTGGCACCCGGACCACTCCAATGGGCAGAAGTGGTCTGGGTGCCTGGAGTGTCCCTTTAATTATAAAAATATAATTTATTGTGACAATAATAAAAATAATAATAATAATATATAACATGCATGACAATCAGTGAATAATTAGTATAACATAGTATAACATAGGCATACAATATGGCAATGGTTTAAACACAATACAGCGGCTAAAACCGACCAGTTGTCAACAATTTAACAAGATTTATGATAGGGCACTGCTTAGAAACCAACTTCACGCAGAAAGACCAAACTTCACAGAATACAACAGTGGAGCGAGAAGCAATAAAAACTTTGGCTGACATATCACACTGATTAAGATTTCCACTGCTGGCTTTAATCCTCATAGGCAAGATATCCTATTATGTTGCAACTTTACAAATTAAAGTAATGTTCATACCAGATCATTTGACCATTCCTAGGACCATCCAATAAGAATAATTCTACCAGATTTTATGTATGCCTAATTTTAACTTTCCTAAATAAGATTCACTATCTTATATCAGAACAAGTCAATATTTATGGATAAAATTCTTGCATGCTAAATTTTTTGGCAAATTTACCGTTAATATATATCGTTATCTTTATTCCACCTGCAGGAATGGAATTTTTATGATTTGTAATTATTGAAATCTGACCATTTTGTTATCCAGATATATATTCCTGCTATTAGTAGAAATTAATTAATTTAACTTACTTAAATAAAACCAGCATAATTACCAGTTAGGTTGTAGATCTTATTAGATGTGTAGATATGTCCTAGGAATTTGTATGCAAGTGTGAGGGGGATTGTGGACAGTAGAAAAGTTTTTACTAGTTGGGAAAGTAATAGTAAAAATTAGGTGTCCAAGAGAGTGTTGTTTCTTGAGTATAGTCCAAGTCAGAATATGTTTCAAAGAGAGTTTGAATGTGGTTCAGAGTGTGAATGTTTGAATCACCATCTCTTCCCTTTGTCCTTACTTTTTAAAGGGCCAAACTCTCTGCAAGTCACTAATTGATAGGACCAATAGGGAACTGTAGGTGTGTCTTCCCTACAGACTATCATCTAGATTTTGGTCAGTAGATGGCGCAATTACATCACCAAAATTTCTTGTCAGGGGGTCCATTTGCCTTTTTGCATAATGGGTTAACTGAAATCGGTGATGCTTTTTATGTAATTTAAGCTATCTTTATGGCTACTATAAATCTAAATTCCTGCCAATTTCAAAGGTTTTGTTTCACTCTTACCCAGACTTAGTGTCGGGCATATGCCTTTAAATCTAGCTTTCTGACATGTCTAAACTCTCCTTCACCTCTTGCTTACAATGGAAGATTGTAAGATTCCATTTTTTTTGTTTGTTTTTTTAGAAAGTAAAATTAATTACTTAATGTTATCGGTCATTAGTGTCTGGTTTTCTTGTGTGAAACTGTGTTTAAGATTTTTTTTATACTCCACTAACATTAGTAATAATATGATATTTCTGCATTGATATTTATCTATGAATAGTCTATATTATTAACATGATACTAATTATATTTGATTAATATAATAATAGTAAGTTATAAGTGGATAGTGTGTAATATATATATATATATATATATATATATATATATATATATAAAATTATGTACACATTTTTTTCTGGGTTAGTATTCCATCCCCCAAGCGATGTTAGACATCACGCCTTATCTCAGGTTTTATCTATAATGTTTACATTAGTGCATTCCTTAGCTCAGACTTGAATGAATAGCGTTATAGAAAGAAATCTTGTGTCTGCCTTAGCCTGGTAATACAAAATAGAGTCACCTCTGTTCTGTGTGTGTGTCTGCCGATATAAATATACTGACAGCAGAGAGGTCTATAATTAGTCTTCGTTTTGAAGAATTGTTTCCCGGTAACTATGTCAATTGGGTTTGTACTCCAACTAGAAAATGGAGGTTCATGAAAAGGCCCAATACAAACCTTTGATCCAATTTGTGCCGTATCAGTAAATCTACTGTCTCTGTATCTGCCATAGCCAATTGTAGGTTCTATGGTTCCTGCTGGCATGTGAATAATGCCTGTATGGAAACATTGGGTGAAACCTGCAATTAGAAAATCAACGAGGTGTTGGGATGGGTGGGGGTATAGAAGGCTAACTAGAGAACCAACATTCACAGAAGTCAAATAAGTTTAGAATGCATTTTATTGTGCACATAGATTTTGCATGTGCTTTGTAGCAGTGGGAACAAACATGCAGGAAGCGGCAAGCACTATATCCACAGTACCTTTGTTGAAGTTGTTACATTTTTGTGATTTCCCCAAGTACACAATTGGACGTCCTAATTTATCCTTGACTGGTTACTCTTTGCGTTGTTGCTTGGGGTGGCCAGGTTAGGAGAGATGTCAAGTGAGATTGGACATAGATTAGCTGAGTGTGAAGTGGATGCGCAAATTGCACAAGCTGGTGTCCTCAGTCCAGCAAAGTGTCTGCAGAAAAGCTCTGTGTCCAGTTGACTCCAAACTGTTCTAACATTAAACCGGGCTAGAGCTACAGACACCTTCTCTGAGACGGACCGATGGTAGTCACAAAATGCTGTACCACCGTATTTATTACCCAAGTTCACCAGCTTGTGCATATAGAGATCTAGTTCCTCTGTCCTGTTCGGGTAAACTGAACATATGATATCTCTGTATATGCCGAATGTTACGTGTAAGTGTAGTGGATTTGGGGTGCTGGGAATTGATACATCATCTAATTCTTCGGGAATCTGAGACATACTGAAAATGTAGCATTACTTTGTTTGTATCAGAACAGTTTTACTGGCTGGCTATCTAGTGACAAATTCACTAAGTTGGTGACGGGTGAGGCCCTGCTAGTTGCCAAGTGGCTTGAGAGGCTCTATCTATGCGTTAGCACAAGGAGATGTCGTGGCCACCAAACGTTGTGGTGGGGTTTTTGCCTCTCGGCGACTTTTAAAGCATAAGACAGATTGAGTGTGACAAGTGAGGCAACCTCTCTATGCAACTATGTGAGGCGGCTAACTATGTGTTGGCCCGAGGGGGCATATTACCTCATGCGTGGAGGATGGGTGTTGGTCTCACAGGACCACTAACTAAGGCAGGGATGCCAGAAACTTAACTTCTATTGGACACCTAGATCCCTATAAGCCAGTAAAACATACTAACTAAAAGGTATATATTGGGGGGGGAGCCATCGTGGTTAAAAATGTACCTGGATTCTTATAAGTACTTGTGTAGGTAGGTGTATAGTATGGTTGTAACCTGTAACTGAAATCTGTAGTTCCCACTAAAAGAGGCTGAGAGGGGAATGAGAGGCCTATTACCTAATAATAATAAGGGCGTATATTCATATTATTAAGCATGTTAAGCTAAGGAACTCTTAACCGTATTAGCCCGGTATATCAAAAAACAAAAAACACCTACCTACTGAAATTAGATTCAAGGTACTAAGAGCAAATAATGCACTGAAAATTGATGACCCCACAATCTGTAATAGAATGTTATTTCAATGAGACTTATAAGATATGGCTTTTAAGCTGGCCTGCAGACAGTACAGGAGTATGCATGTGTATGGGATAGTGTTTACCCAATGAACCCATTACCGCATATATCCCTTGACCCAACGTCTTTAATATGTATTTGGTACATCAGTATTGAAAAAAACCTTAATAAATGATTTTTATTTATAACTAGGATATATGTAGACAGAGATGGACTATGCTAACTCTCCAGTGCAACACCATTTGTGTATGTGTGTGTGTGTGTGTATATATATACACACATATACACAGAGCAGTAGAATACTTTAGAACCATTAAATGACCTACCTACGGGAAGAACCATAACCTGATGATCTGTTAACAGAGGAGTATAATAAAGACAAAAGACCAAAAAGTCAATGACAATATACGTATAAATATTATAGAAATTGCTACGTTGCAATATCCCAATGAGTGGCACAAAATAGCAAATACTCAAAACACCTTATTGTGGGTTTCCCTTTATCCCTACATAAAAATAGACATATACATACGGTACAAGGTGGAATATATTAGGTACAATAAGTCTTCCAATAGTAGTAGCAATAAAATAGTCCAAATGGGAATGTTCCCTAGAATATGAACATAAATAACAATGAAATAGTGCAATATAGCCAACACTCACAAACATAGAGCCAATTCAAAAGACTCAATGGTAGAGCTCTGTGGGTACTAAAGGGACCCACTTCCTTCTTGTTGCTGCCTGCAGTATCCAAAAGTAGGATGTCCTCTCAGGATGTATCAAACATAAAGTGCTTTATTTGAATATGCACATAAATATATAAAATACATAAAAATCAGTGGAAAACCTTACAGTTGATGAAGGTTGGTCCTTATTTAAGTTGCAA